AATGTTCATGTGTGTGTTAGTTGGAAGACGTATGCCTGAGAGCAAAATGACCTGATAAAGTTTTTGATACTCCCCAGTCAAAAGGAGCACGGATATCCTGACAGTGTAGGTGTACTGTAGGTAACTCCTATAAATACGAAGGTGTCATACTTCATCAAGACAGTAGATGGCAATGTTAGCATGTTTTACGTACTATTTCGACCGATACAGTCTTTTCCTTAATGGCCGTATTCTCAAAACAGTCCACACGTTTTGGAGTCTTGCAAAACACTAACACATTTAGCGAAACTTCTTACTGCGATCAGTAATTCAGATAGCAATATGTAGCATTACAACTCTCACAAATAATCACTACATAATCACAGGCAAAACACTGAACATCCTTTTTTTATGAATCGTAGAATCAGGCATCTAATGTGTCACGCCGCATGTTTTGTGTAATATGACAGATATATGCTTATAGTCAGTCATTCCTCGATCGGGGAATTAGCTCAAATGGTAGCGGGATCGATGCCTGCATTCTCCAAGCCTAACCGAGGAATCAGTGAAATTTATCTTTAATATAATAATTACAACTGAAATCAGACAAGAATCAATGTTGTAAATGTTATTATTAAACACGTATTTCTTCTCTGTAATACAAAAAAATGACAGTCACAATTTCTAAACCGGTAGTTGTCCGAAACAGAATCTCGGTAGCCAAAATAATACATCGTCTGCAAAATGACTTAACCCTCACAAAACCTTAAATGCAAACCCAAAGTAAACTTTAATATTAAACAAAGCTCATGATCAAGTAAGTGAAATATTTAAAACCATCACTAAATAATGCAAATGGACTGTTTCGATTTAATCTGTTCAGCCTTCATTCGTGCTATACACTTATACTATGCAATGATTCACCACACAGTTCTTTCATATGTCAAGTTTTCGTTTGTGGTTTCGTCAACATGTCACAGAATGTGTTCCCTAGAAATTACGTTAGGTAAAAATCTTCTGGAATGTATATTCCAGCCTTTGCAGATCGAACGACGGTAATTTTCTGAAACCTTCAGTTTAGGATTCATCAGCCGCTTTTGATCATGAAGGTCCTTGTCATAGACTTTCCATCTACAGAAGGAAAAAAACTCCTCAGTTGGATTAAGGAATGGAAAGTATGGGAGGACACAGACATTCACGGGTGAGCTCCAAACCAGTCTGCCACTGCGGATGAGTGGTGGAAATGGACATTGTTCCATGTGACAACACAGATTGGGCCATTGATCCCAGAATCCTGTTCTTCCTTGGATGCTGAAAGTTGACAGTGCAGCCTATCAAAGAATAACCTCTAGGGTGTTATATGGCTCAGTCATTGGGATGTATGCCAGAACACCAGTGTCTGATATGTTTTCAGCCCTCTGATCTACTACCACACACACACACACACACACACACGTGGTATGACACTAGACTCTGCCTCCATAAACTTCTATAATCAATATTGGAAAGTGTGGAGCACATGGAAGATTTCATGACAAGGAATTCAGTATTTCCATGCAAATACTACTTGCCTGTAGACGATGACATCATCTTCTTAGCCTTTTAGTCATTTTAGCAAATGACACTCTGATGAGGCAACATTCAATCGATTTACATGGGTATCAAGCTCAGTTACATATTGTTTGTGTGCGAGTTTCAGGTGTGGTGTCTTACCCTATTTTATTATCAATATTCTTGTTCCTGAATATCTGAAAATACCTAATGAATGTGAATGTGGCACATTAGGCTGCACTGTTCAGGTCGCACCTGCACATGGATAGGCCATGATTCACACATGCTCAACCATAGTTGCTCCTACGTCCTGAGGGATTTCTGTTCTTCAAAGTCGTCTCCCTCTGGGTTTTTCAGCACATGCTCAAACTCCACTTTCTCTTTGGCTTCCAAGTCCTCTTTGGATTTGAGGACATCCTCTCCTTTCGTTATACAACATCACCACTTTCATGTGTATCCATATACACTGTTTGGCAGTTTAACAGATTTGGAAGAATTGGTTAATTACTTCAAAAACTGAGGCATACTAAGTCAGTGATTTGGCATTGAATACTTCTGACTGAGTGCAAATGAAATTCACAAATTAATTTGCCCCAATAGATTAGGTTTGAAGAACATTTCTGAGTTACTGAGCCACAGAAATTTGTTATATTGTTACCGGAGAAAAGGAAGTAGGGCCGGTTAATCGTATAGGTGATACAGCCAGTTGCCTCGAGCAGCATCTCCTAAGGGGAACAGTGATGCTCATCCATAGCACCAGACTAGGATTTACAATTATTGTAAATGACAGATTATATCTGTAGCACGATTACCTGCATGCAAACACAAATAATGCTTCCCAAATGTAAACAAATAAATAAATAATAAGCAAGCAAACAAACAAATAAAACCAATCGAAAATGAGAGAGCGTGTCTTTATCATCATTTACAGCGTACAAACTAAAAAAAAGTAATAATAACCAAACATATAAGTTAAGCAATATTAACCATCATCAAATTCATGCATTTTCAGGGATAATGTCTGATGGTATAGGAACACATGCAAGAATACAAGCAAAGGCATTAAAAAAAGAAAAAATTAAACAAAAAAAACATTGAAGTTTCTGAAAAGGAACAGAGATCCTGCTCAGAGTCTGTGTGGAAAAATTCCCAGTTAAAATTCTTCATGCTTAACCATAATGTTACCTGCCATTTCCATTGTTGAAAGAACAGAGGCTGACGATTTAGACCAGGTGGTACGTTAGGTGAAAACGTCCATGGTGCATATCACTCTAGATGCTCATGAAGCTGCAACACAAGATGTCACAGAAGCTATCAAAGCATTTCATGGGATAAAAGGAATTCTTTCATGTAATGTCAAAACTTCCTGAGGAGTATTGACGTAACTCCTCTTATACCTACTTGTTCTGCCTCCGACATTGCTATGGATGAGTCAGCATATACCTACACATTGCACCTAATATTGCACCTAATATTGGGAGGGAACTGCTCCTTTTTATAAGCTGAGGGTTGGGGTGTCCAGCTCACTGCTTTGTGGACCATATGTCTACTGGTTTAATTTTTGAATTATTAATATTATTTGTATACATCCATGTTCTGAATTAATTAAAATTCACAAAAAATCACTCAAATCAAAGCAAAATGTTTTTAGAAAGTCAAAAATATTAAAATGACTGCAAAGAAATGCATTTGGTTGCTTTTCAGAAAGGTGTCAGTACAGCAATAAACAAAGTTATTGGAGTAAATTGAGACCTGGGGTCGATTTTTTTTTTTGCATTGTTTTATTATTATACCAGCAAAGGTACAGTTTAAACAGAAAGAGGAAAAAAAAGTATTTTCATGAGATTTCCTCTAACTCTCACAGCAGGATGATCTGCAGAGAGAGAAGTAACTTTCATTCACATTTTTTTTATAAAACATGAAAGGTCACCAACCAGAAATGTACACAGCAAATTCCACTGTCACTCCACATTTTGGCAACTAACCTTCACGTTCTTACTGGGCTTTTTCATAAGGCATAGTATTGTTGCTTGTTTCTCTACCCTATACACTCTAGATTTAGGTCCATTAAGCACCTTCAGCTATTATCGCTCATCCCAATCCAGCTATACAAACATCAAAATCTTGTGCAGTTAACCCTGATATTAAATATCATATTCTTAAATATCGTACTGTTTGTATGAGTTGGATGGACGCTCCTGCCTAAAACCAATTTGACTATCAATCTTTTTAACGTTTTCTATTATCCGTATGTAAAACCTAAGCTAATTTAAACTCTAGATATTGCAAAAATCAGAAACTTAGATTACATAGGAGATTTCCATTGCCTTACAGAATGTACATTTTGATAAAGTAGGAGCCAGTATTACTGTTTATACAGATGTCAATAAAAGACACTTTGGATGTTTTTATTAATGCATTCAGTAGCTGACCTTTGATGCTGCAAACTAAACATCCATAAAAGTACATCTGCATAATAATTTATCATTTCAAGGTTTGTGTTCACCGTTTCAATCGTGATAAAAATGCCTTACAAAATTACGTACAGTGTACATGGTTTTATTTACATCTTTTGTCAAAGTTTGTTCATTTTCTTGGCCTCACAGTCATGTACAAACATGGGAAGAATATTTCAGATGTGAGCATAAATTTATGCCATTTATTATATTTAAGCAGTATTTCTAAGAGACAACTTTGATACCAGAACCGAATAGAGCACACTAGGTCCCCACAGCTATATCTACTGGTTTTTCATACTTTCAAATACAACATTATTGCATTTATTTGTGATTGTTTCACAAAAAAAAAACAAAATGAGCATGAAGTGAAAGAGTTCTCTACATGCATGTACAATCTGCTGGATTGAAAAATTTTATAATGTATTGGAAATCATTTCTTGTAAAATTATATTATTTCAAATTTGTATTCATTTATTTTTATTACAATACGCAATCGTTCCTGTTTCATAACATTTAACGGAATTTTCCTTCATCGTTGTTTTATAAAAGACACCCACAAATCATGAAGAACTCTGTGGAAATTCTGTCTTCATAAATGTGGGGGGTAATATGCCGGCTGAAGATAACCGCTGTGCATGAAGGGATTCAGGAGGCCTCTGCTAGAATTTAATGGAAAAGAAGTAGCGGGATGGAGAACTGTGTTTCCAGAAGTGAACGTATGAAAAGCCTGGTAATTCACAGAATTCAGCCCACATGGCCCAGGACTTGTACTGACTCTGGACAGTGTGCTTGATCCTGGATGCATTGTACCATCAGCACCTGGATTTTGTTTTTTCCATTTAGTTCTTCTGTTCTGAAACCAAATCTTCACCTGTGTTTCGGTCAGACTGAGCGACAGGGCGAGATTCAGACGCTCACACACCGACAAATACCTTGTGGCGCGGAATTTGTTCTCCAGCGCCACCAGCTGTTCATACGTGAAGGCTGTCCTTGCCCGCCGCGGCTTGGTGCAGCCGTGCTCAGATCGGCGCCTCTTCTGCCGCGAGGAGTCGTCCGTCCCTGGCGTGTCAGTGTAGCACGTGTGTGTGTCACTCGCTTCATGTACTCCTTCAAAAGGACAGTCCGCTTCTCGTTTAGCCATCAGTGAAACTACCTCAGAGTCATGCTGCACTTCCAGGTCATCAGCAGAACCCAGGGCATCATTTTCTGTCTGTTCACCTATCAATACAAACAGGACCATTAATACGTCAAATCTGTACATTCATTATACATATACACAATTCATCGTCTATGTTTACCGTTTGGATGTCACTCATACTGCCTCTATATATATGCAGTTGATAAATTGAACCCCTACTTAAAATATTGATACTGTACATATAGAATTATATATACAGCTGTGGAAAAAAAATAATAATTAACAATTTTTTGTTTCTCTCATTTCTAAATTTATGGGTGTGCGTCTGTGAATAATATTTATTTTTCTGCAGACTGCAGCCTGATTCTTCCCTGTTTCACATTAATGAAGGGCTTCTTCCTTTCTTTATGGGACCTCAGTCCTGCTTTTGGGAGTCTGATATGAACTGTCCTAGCTGTGCACTTTCCCGTTCCTTTTGAAGTTCAGTTCATGTCATCCTCGATTCATGAGAAACTGTCGGATAAGTTAACGTTCATCTCTGGCATTAGACTGTCGCTTCCGCCCTCTACCTGACTGGTTTCTGGTCGTTCCCAGTGTCTCCTGCTTCACCTTATTTGTGTGGACTGTTGTCTTAGAAATGTGGAACTAAAATTAAACCATGATCTAAAAATGCAGATTCTCCCCAGCTGTGTGTGTGTGTGTGTGTGTGTGTGTATATATATATATATATATATATATATATATATATATATATATATATGCTTAAGTTTTAAATTGCAGTTCATTAATTGGATCCAGAAAAAAATAATCAGAGACTGTAAACTTTTTTTCTCCACGAACGGATGCAATTCGTCAGTGTTTAAATAAAATATGGGCAAGATCGTCAATAGTTCTATGCAGCGTCTTTTATGGACTTTTTTCTTGAAACTTTTTCTTTTAAATGTTTTAATTTGTTTTTCAGACACATTTTGGGTGTGCATAGTGCAGTCAGAATTACTATTAAAATTCTTCATAAACATGAAAAGCCCTCGATAATTCATTTTTCATTCTTAATGTGGAATAGCATTATGACTGTAATATATTGCTGGTTGATAGAGGAGGGATCATAGGTGTTAGGGCCTAATAAAGCGAGTAGAATGGGAAGCGTTTGTGTTGGGTTAGGCTATAATCCCTAAATTATTTATAAATCAGAAATCGCTTTAAATGTCCTGTTGCGGAAAGCAACCCACGCAAAATCCAGCTCCACCACCCAGCCACAACGTCCTAATGGAGTTTCATATTTGTTAGCGGATCGATAAATGTCATCTATTTTAAGGTAAGTTTTAATCGAACAATATTTGGGATCAGACATGGATGGGGTTTGAAGTTTGTACCTGCAAGCTGGCGGAGGGAGATATGCAGCAGTCAGTAATGGGATATCGATCAAAGTGTGCAAGCGCATCCTCAATGGGAAGATTTAAACAATTACCCAGCCTGACTGTCCCAAGGCCAATCCCACACATAGATGGGGAATATATAAGAGACTGAGAGTTTCTTATGGATGACAGAAACAGAAATAAAAAGGTTACGTTGGCAGATACGTGATATAAACGGCATCTTTCTGATGCTTTCGGATAGTTACGTGTACGCGTTTAACAAAGATTTGCAATTATATGTAACATGCAAGTTCGGCCTGTGTAGAAGATAATAAGAAAAACCGGTAAAAGTTCTAAAAAATGCATTTTTTTTATTTATTGACACTTACTTATAAGTTAAAAAAAATTCTGGAAACACGGTAACTTGCGCCTTTCTTACCCGCATCCTGCCCTGGAGTTGAGTGCTCCCCAGCGGTGCCGGCACTGAAGGCATTTCCCACCTTGATATTCATCAATGAAAACTTCTCTTCTTCGGACAAAAGTGAGCTTATTTTCTTACCATTGAACTTCTTAGGATCCAATATGTCAATGATCGAGAAAGAAATCCGGTGACTGGGCGCATTTGTTCCCACGCTGTTCTTGTGCTCGAGCATGATGCGAGCTGCAATGACTCCAAATGAAGGAGCACAAAGTGCACTTTTATGTGCATTAGCTGACAAAAACGGGGAAGAGAGCTGATCGCTGCTCAGCTTTGAAGGTGTCGGAATGGACTCTTTTAACAGTGATTCTTGGTGATCCTGGGCGGAGTTGGGCTCAATACTTAGACAGCGCGGGCCAGCGATGCGCAGTGAATGAGGAGCTATGAGTGACGTCAGTCTGTTATTTTCTCCGCTGGATTCGAAGACGCGGTTCCGACGCGCACGTGACCAACAAATAAACCACCTTTCGATGGATTTGCTTACTTATTTTTATGCAATGTTTCATTTATCGTTTATTCTCCAGCTGTCTGTCGTTTCATATGTATGCGTGTTAGGGCGTAGAAGGAAAAAAGAAAATATGTTTCATGTTGCACAATATATGAGCTATATAAATATTTTATTATAATTATGAATAACAGCGCGTTTGGTTAAATGCATGCATTATGTCATTTTGCAGCATGTCTGAGGGCTAAACCACAGTTTAACAAGTTGTTACATGTATATAAACAAACTTTCAATGTTATTTTTATTGTTTTTTTCTTTAAACATTATGTTGGATCGATATAATTATCACAACCCCACGTGGTCGATATGTGTCCTTTCCAATCTTGTATATAAGTTTGTACTAAAATGTCAGACCTCAAAGTACATTGCAATAGATTAGATTTTAATTACGGATTAGGTAGTAAATATTAAGCTGAAAGCGGCAGTGAAATATAAAATCGATTAAAAGTCTTATGGGCATGTAGTGAGGTTTTTTATTTCCCAACAAAAACAGCAATGGCACCGTATAAAGTGCTCCCCATTTTCACACACTTTGATTAAAATTCATCCGTCTGCCACTGAATGCTTTGCTTAAGTTAGGGTCATTCGGATGGCAAGTGACGCCCGAAACAAGCTCTCGATCAATATTCGCCACTGCTGTCCGGCACTGATAGCACTGACCAATACAATGCGGCGTATCACTGGAGGCATTTCATCTATTACTGTGCTAGCTATACTGTTTAAATGGCCTGCTGAATTTCTTTACTTATTTAATGTAGGCCTTCTGCTCAAAACGTGGTATCTTAAATGCACTAAAACAGCACCAAGTGAACACTGGCTGTCATGTTGCTAGGATAAGTTTCTACAGTGAATCTTCAATTCAGTTTAGAACTGTTATATATTTATATGTTACTGTTGTTTCTGCCTCTTATTCAGGGCAATTGGCCTGAAATAAAGTGGCTTGGATACCTATAAACAAAGGTACAGCAGTGCGTGAGAAAAAATATGTAGCACTCTGTTGTTCATTTTTTCAATTGCAACTGTTGTTCCTTAAATTGTTTTTAATATTGAGAAATTATATATACAAATTGATGCCATTTTTTCCAAAATATCTTCTCTGAATGTCAGATAACTAAAGTTAAATAGCACATTTTGTTTGATTCAAAATTACTATTTACGTTGTATTTCAGGTAAATGAGGTACAGTTAAATCTGAAATTTCAGTTTAGAAACTGTCTAATTGATAACTGACATTTAAGTGGTTTTTAAACTGAAAATTTAATACGAGAAGAAAGCATAAAATAAAGTATATCAAAGTATCTAAAAGCTCACTGAGGAAACAACTACAGTATTTGGCGATGAAAACTGCATGAAACTTCGTCTAACTGGCTAACAGTTCACACTCTACAGTTGTCACTGCGCTGCACGTCAGAGGTTTTCCTCCATGTTAAATGAGTGGATAGTGTGCATTGACCTGTTAAGTGGATGTTTCTGAGTGTCACTGCAAGTTACATGTTTAAGAGAAGGATTACCCTCCCTTTTTCCATAATGCCAGTTGCCAGATGGTGCAGTCATTTGCTGATTATGGTATGGCGAAGTGTTAGTGAAGACAGAGTAATATCCATGACTTTAAAATTATGCTAGCAAATTATGCTAATACTAAATATCGCGTTCTTTTTCTAGTCAGCTGACCTTAACGAGGTTGCAAGGTCATAACATCGGTTGGAAAATCGTGGAATGCTAAGAGGTCGTAGGTAAGAAAGTGATAGGAAAAAAATAGCTCAGCCAAGACGTTTCAGTACATTTCAGCTGAAATGGCAAAAGGAGGTTGACATAAATGAGTGGTCTGGTTACTACACCCCAACATGATTACAGGGTTCAATGCAGTCCTTGGCTTGATTGTATGAAGGCTATGAGATCTCCTTGTATTTGAATATGTGCCACTATATATTTCACCCACAGAGCTATGACTGATTTGTTCTCTGCATGTGAGAACGGATTGCTGTGCTATGTGCACTTTATATTACGTTACACCCTTCTTCTGAAATAGGCTCATGAGCTCCATCTTAATTACAGTATATGCACACTTACTAAAAAACCTGTGAATGAAAAGTACATGAATCCCATTAAAAAAACAACAATGAAATGGTCTGAAGAAATGTCAGGATCATTAAGGAGAGAAAGGCTGTAATAAGTATTTTGTGGATTACTGGATAATATTTAATATTTTATTTTTCCTCAGACATCATAGATCTCTCATGAAAGTTTTCTTAATACTTGATTTGTATGTTTCCAGAAATAGTTGTAAATAGTCTATGGGCTCGAACCTCGACTAGCTACATAATAAAACGTGTCCTGGTGAGGGGACCAATGGCATTGGGTGTTTTAGCGGCAAGCTAGAATCGAGTTTACAGGCTGTTAAATGGTCATACAAATATGTCATAGACCCAAGACTGCGCAATTTCCTTCTCTTTCCTGATTTTATGACTAGGTGATTGATCTCTTGCATGAGGCCAGCAATTGTGGATGGCTGTTACGAACGGCTGGAGGCTACTGTGTGGCATGTTATAATATGGTTAAATATCATTGAAAATACCTTTAGCCGGCATCCTGTTTGGCTACATTAGCATCTGTATGCCCCGGTCACTTAGCCTCAGCTCCCATGTGAATAGCTTCTGTACACTACTGGTTTATAACTTCCTCTGCACTGCCCAGCACTGGGACATATATTTGGTCGTGCTGCAGCACAAAGAAAGACCAAAAGAGTGGTAGGTAAAGGACAAAAGAGTGGTAGGTAAAGGGGCGGTGTTTGTGCAAAAGGCAGCAGTACAGAGATCAAGGAGCATCACAGCAAGGCTCCGGGGAGGCCAGGAATGCAGTCAATGCAAAGTCTAGACAATAAACTCATCTTGGCACTTGAGAGCAAACACATATTTTCTCTAACACCATAACTCATATTATGATGCATTGTGCCTTTAAGAAGACATCAGAATAATTGTACAATTACAAGAATTTACAATTGTACCTGCCCTGAAGGGTATAAGTATCCATTGAAAGCCTTTAGATGTGTTTACGCAACTTAGGAAAGTGAATAGAAATGATACAGTGTGTTTCCATGCATTTTGTAGTTGTGTACATAAAATTCACCCTTGATGAAAAACAGAATGGGATTTTGAAGATTTTTTGCTCATTGTAATCCATAACTTAAAATCTTCTTTTCTTTGTCCATAAGGCTGTAAAGCACACTGCTGTCTTCAAAGGATACATTAAACATTTAGTGTTTACTTCAGTGATAGCTTGGTTAGCGATGTGGTGACACTCTGGCAGCTTATCGGACAACAGCAGCTCACAGTCGACTTGAAGGGCGATGACAACTGACAAACTATCCTTGGACTGTATGTGGACAGTCCTGACTAATTTAATTGTGTTGACGTATTCCCACAAAGATGCCTTTGCACCAGACTATCAGTAGAATGTGCTCAGGTTTTCAAAACGCTACTTTCATACTAGCATGAAGATAAGTGCTGGAATTCTTTTCAGGTTTTCAAAAATGAGTGGCAGTATCATCCAGCAGTTGTGATATTTTCTTATTATACAGGAACAGCAACTTACAGTTGATTTCTTGTAGTAAAAATTGAGTACATCCGAAATGTGGCACATTTTAAAAGCGATAGTATTGAAATTAAGCATGGATAACGTACCGCAATATTCTGTAAGTTAACATCACTGAGAATAGAGTATGATTTACGATAAAAAATTGATTTTATTAGTTACAAACACTCAATTGCCTTGCTTAGACGAAAACCACCAAACTCTACTACCCTGCTCACTTATTCACGGTATCCACCCAAAATAATAATTTACCTGTGCTTCATAGCTTCAAGCACCAGAGAAACAAGACAAATGCAACTAAGTAAGAAAATAAGTATTTAACACTGACTGTTCTACTCCCAGAAAGCTCTCTACCAGTAATCTGTAGTCTTATTTTGACAGGATCACTACAATACATTAACATAAATGTACTGCATATATGAGGTATTCCTTGCACATGTCACCAGCTTATTCAGTACGTTAGAAATGGTTTTGGGCATTATGCTAAATTAAGGTGGAAAAACCAGTCAGAAAAGTCTGCAGGCTGCGCAGGCAAAGAGCTGATGCAAAGTTTAGCTGTTCCCTCTGGTGCAGAGCTTCCGTGTTTGCTTGAGGGCAGTGTGAGCCGAGGCTGTACAAGAACTATGATTTTAGGTCCCTCACAAGGTCAGCAGCATTGCCCAGTAATTGTCCTAACACCTCTACCTGTTCAGGAGCGGTAATGAGAGTTTTCCATTATGTGCGGGTGAGTGCACCTTGGCAGATGCTGACAGGCAGCAGATGTGTAAAGTTGGGGGTGATTTGTAAAAGGGGCCGGCTCATCGGCGGCAGGGTAATTACAGTGAGGGACACTGTCACTCACGGCGTCACCCTGTCGGTATGAGGTAAAGGTCAGTTCAAACTGCTCTCTGAAAACATTCGCTCGATATCCAGTCAATGCTGCTGGGAGCACTGGAGTACGGAGACTTGTTTTAAGGGGAGACAAATGCACACCTTCAACATTAAT